GGGAGCTGATTCCATAATTGGTGTGACACAGCCAGGAAGGCCCTTCCCCTTGTGGCCACCTTAAAGGTGGCTCTTGGAAAAGGCTCTCAATAGATGTTAAGGTCCAGGTAGGGATATACGGGCAGAGACGGGAGATTAGCCCCAACATGGGTCTCAAAGGCCTCATGCCACCTGCTTGAGTTGCAGGAGGAAGGAAAAAGAGGCCCAAAAGGGCAAGGGAGAGCTTTAGGTTGGATAATTCTCTGATACACACAGTGTGTTTCATGGTTAGGGCAGAGAGTATGAATTGAAAGGAGGAAACGGACTGAGGGCCCCTCTGAGAATAGCAAGAAGCTGGTTCTTCTTTTCTCCTGTGCTTGGATGCCAAGTGATAATCTGCTGATTTGCTTGTCCTTTTCCTTTTCTGTACAACTGTAGGGTACAGCTCAGCTTCACAAAAGGCAATTAAACAGAACTGTGGGGCTGGCCAGCTCTGCATATCCACACAGAAGAGCCAGCAAAACATATTCCTTTCCTGGCTAATTCAGCCAATTCTCTTTTGGGCTTACTGCAGTTCATCACCACCATTCATTTTCTGAGTTTGCTGCAAGATCAGGACAACTGGCAGCCAGCCCTGTGAAGGAAAGGCTTAATACTAAGGTCACGGGACACTGGAACCCAACTTAAAGCTGGCTGGCTTTTGAGCTAGAAGGTTATCTCTGTTGTGTGCATATCTACTGAGATTAGTGAATTTCTTCACCTCAAGGAGACCAGAAGGAGCAGCAGAAAAGAGAGTCACCATGCTATAGTTGCTAGAATGTAGAACTGGGAGTTGGCAGATCTGAATTCTGGTCCCCGTTGGCCACAAAGCTCCTTTGGGGCCACTCTTAGTCTACCAACTACCTCACAGAGTTCTCGTGAAGTTAAAATGGAGGTGAGAAGGATCATGTATGCGAACATGTATTATTTATTTATTTATGGATTTATATCCTGCCTTTTTCCTACAAAGGGCTCAAGGCAGCTTACATCATTCTCCTCCATCTTATCCCCACAACAACAACCCTGTGAGTAGGTTGGGCTGAGAGTCTGTGACTGGCCCAAAGTCACCCAGTGGGCTCCATGGCCGAGCGGGGACTAGAACCCAGATCATCTGAGTCCCAGTCCCATGCTCTTACCCACCACACCACACTGGCTCTCTCTAACATGGTTTCCTTGGAGAAAAGATGGGATATAAATACAACAAATAACAACTGGCTTCATATTATATCCAAACGCACAATAAAATGGCTGAATGGGCAGATGCTCTGGAGTCACATCTGCTCTGCGCATCATAATCCTTTAGAATGAGATCAAGGACATGGGGGATGTTCCCTAATTCAAGAATGCACATGGGGGCTTCCCAGTCCAGTTTGCTGCTGCTTCCTGTTACTAGATTCATGGAATGAATTGGGTCCAGAAATATAGTTGGGGAAGATACAGCTCACCTGATCAGGCAGTTCCTTTATCAGACCAGCATCTTTGTATTTATACCTATCTCAACCATTCCCAGGACTCCATGCTGTTTATTGAGCAGGCCCTGGCAGAGGAACTGTTGGGGGCACAGAGGGGGGATGAATGGCTGGTTCATTTGGAGGCCCAAATCTCCGGGAGGCCATCTGCCCCACCACTTGCTGTCCATGGCACCCCGTCCAGGTACCCTAATGTCCTCTGCTGCATCTGATCCCATGGATTACCTCGCTTTTGGACCACATGTTCTCCCATCTCTTTCTACATTTGCCCTTGAATCTCTTTGACTGGAAATTGAATGCCCTCCTCTTCCTTTTTTTACAATTAGGGGCCTTCTTAGGAGACAGGATCCCAGAGACAGACCTTAGAGTGTATGTAAATTAGCAAATGCAAACTTTTCCATACCAGGCATCTCTCGTGTTGTCTGTTTTCTTTGGAAGCAGAAAGGGGAGGAAAGAGGTGGAAATTATTTGTTCTTGTTACGTCTGAATTGGGTATATGCTACCCCTCCACAGTTTTCAAACTAATATCTATGATGCTGGCTAGGGAATTATGGGATTTATAATCCAACATATGCAAGACCACTTGGCCGAGGAAGGTCATTCTCTACTCTCTTGTCTAGTTAAGGGAGATGACAGAGTAGCTTTGTGGATGTCAGCACTGCCTTCATCCTGATTATATACTCTGTCTCGCTGTGCATTAACACAGAAACAGTAACCCTGACTCATCATTTTTCCCCATCCCTGCGACCCGAGGCAAACAGGCCTTGCATACACTCTCTAAACATTCCCAACTTCCCCTAGAGCAAACATCTAATCACATCCTGCTTTGCAGCACAGCTGTCTTGTTTCTACATGTGCAAGCAAACTATCCCATAGCTGGGGTTATTAATTATTGCTGAAGGCAACCGCTGTCCCTGGGGAAGCACCCCTGTGACAATTATTGCAATATTTTGCAGAAGGCATACGTGCGCACAACTGAATCTTGTTTTTGTCCCCCTACACTCTCAGAAGTTTCTAGGCCTTTACAGCTAAATAAAGAGTTGATGGTAATGTTTTTGAGGGGAAATATGGAGCTTAAAATTATGAGCCCTAGTAGGACTGGCTAGCTAGACTACTGCTCCGTTATATGTCCACTATCCAAACATAAAACATATGACAAGCACAAAACCTTTAGCCTTCAACAAATGTGAAACTGTTTGACACAGTTTTAAAAAAACCTATTGGGAATAAACTGCCAGAACTCAATAATAAAAAGGGATTAAAAATCTCCAGTATAGGTTGCCAAATGCCCTGGAGATAGGCTGTCAAGCAGTAGACTCAGATGGGCCCATCCCTACTAGCCTCTAGCATAGGTTAGTTACTATCATTGCTGTAGTGGAGAGTTGCACCAACAGGAAAAGAGGGCTAATCTAACCAGACTGAAATTCCAGGCTCTGAGAAGGTCATCCTCAAAACCAGGTGCTACGGAAACTGAAGACCAAGGTCTGCATCAGAGCTAGGGATTTGGCAGAAGACAGGAAAGGGATGGAAGGTTACCATGGTAGGAACAGAAGTGGATTAAATGTGGGAGCGTCATCCCACCTTCTCTCAGCAAAGGTGGAAACAAAGTACATCACACTAATAGAAAAGTGATGTTGGGACGAGAGAAGCATCATGCCTATGTAAACATGAACATAAGAAGAAAAGCCATTCTGGATCAGACCAAAGGTCCCCAGAGTCCAGGATTCTGCACACATGGCCGCAAACCCACTGCTCACAGGATCCCTCAAGCAGGACAGATGCAAGGCCTGCTCAAGTTCCTCAGCAACTGGTGCATGCAGGCACACCACCTCTGGTAAAGGGCATAGCACATGGCTAGCAAGGGTAGTGGCCACTGAGAGCCGCCTCCTCCAGAAATCTGTCCAATCCCATTTTAAACCAATCCAAATCAATGGCCATCACCACTTTTCCATGGCTGGAAATTCCATTGTTGAACCATATATTGTGCGAAGAATGGTGCCAACTAATGCTGTACTTTAATTTGCTTATGTCCTGGGATCAGCATCAGTGACACTCCACTAAGAAGGTGTGCAGTTCAGTCTTGTTTTTTTATGTGCTTCTCCCCCACCCCAAGCCACTGAGTTTTGATGTGCCACAAAATACATTTCCAGCAGCTACAGCATTTCTGGGTTTATTTTGTGCTCATTTTGCAAGTTTGCATTGAAGATAGTGGCAGCATACTGGAGTTTAGCTTTCATGAGCTAAAAAAGAGATTTCATTGCTTATTTCTCAAGTGCCACATTGTTCCTGCTGTTTTTGTTGTTTTTCCAAGGGACTTGGGGAGTTTTCCTTAGAGCTGTTTTCACGTAGTTTATCTGTGGATGAATTTTTAAGCTAGGATAGACTGCCAAAGAGGATTTTCTTAAACTGCTGGCCTTTTACAATCATCCTAGCTTGTAAATTTTCATTCTGGCCATGGGGAGGAGGGAGGCAAATAACCTTTCTGACATCGTGTGTGAAAATGTTTGCTTGTGCTGCTTTTTGAACAGCCTATGTATTTCTTTAGGCCATCTTCACCCCAGTCTTCAGTATCATCGCTCCCAGGGTTGGATAAGAAAAGGGGGGAGATAAAAAAAACGATAAAGCTCACTGCTCAAAATCCACACTAACGCTCAATACAAGTGGATTAGATGAATACCTACATGTTTACTCAAAAGTAAGTCCCACCGCTTGTTCCCTCGCCAGGCTGCAATTCTTGGAGTAAGCCCCATTGAATACAATAGAAGCTGCTTCGGAGTAGACGTGCAAAGGATTGCACTAGAAAGATTACAGCCTTCGTCAGCAGAGGGCAAGAGAAAGTTCTTTGGGTTTATATGTTGATTCCCCTTTTAACCCTGACTTGGGACTTGGGAGGGGATTTTAAAAAAGTATAGAGCCCATTTTGTGGGGGGAGTTCGTTACGATGCGTTCAGCTTTGTGCTGCGAGTATTTCCTCCTCCCTCTTTCCTCCTCTGTTTCATCGCAATTCTTCATCTTTCAAAGCTGCTGCAGGAAAGCAACAGCAAGGGGGGGCGTGACCACCTCGTGGGTGCGCTTCCCTTTGGCTCTTTGACAGCGCCGCATGCCATTGGCCGAAGGAAGCCCAGCCTCACGCGAGTCGACTCCGCCCCCCGGGGCTTCCAGCTGGCCGAGAGACTCTCCTTCCTCCCCCCGCACCACCCGGCCCTCCTCCTCCTCCTCCTCCGCTCGCAGAGACGACCCCGCCTCCAACTCGGAGACTGCCTGGAGATGGGGGTCGCGAGAGCGCGTCGCCGATTGGCCCGCCGTCCCCGGGCGCCGCGATTGGCCGGCCGGGCCGCGCGGGGGGGCGTGGCCGGGGCGCGACGATTGGCCGCGGCCGAGGGGTGTGTGCGAGCGCGAGAGGGGCTGGGGATGGCCGCGGCTGTTCCTGAGCGGCGGATCCGAGCGCTCGCTGGAGGGGGGCGGGGAGGGGGGAAGCGACGGAGGGGGGCGGCGGCCGCAGGCGCTGCTGCTCCTCTTGCTGCCTCCGCCGCTGGGCGCTGAGGGAAGAGGCCGCCGCCGCTCCGCCAGCCTTCTTCGACCCCCTCCGGCGGCGCCATGAACAGGGGCGGCAGCAGCAGCGCCTCGTCCTGCCCCTCGTCGCTCCCCGGCGACGGCCACGGCAGCGGGCACGGCCACAGCGAGTGCCGCCGGGTTTGTAGCAACTGCCGGAAAGTGCTGAGGCAGGTGGGTACGATGGCGCTCTCCGACCCCATACCCGCCTCGGGGGCTTGTGGAGCCTGGGCGGGGGTTCCGACCCCGTTTGGGGGCTTCTCCCGGAGACCCCCTCGAAGGTGCTGGGGGGATGCCGCCGCCTCTTCTCGTTAGCCTCGCAGTCTTCCCTATCCTGCTGAACACCCCTCATAAGAAATAATGTTTCCGACTGCAACTCCCATCGTCCCCGCCGCTGGCGCATGACGCCTGGGATTGATGGGAGTAGCAGTCCGGCCTTCCTGAAGGGCGCCGGGTTGAAGAAAGAAAGGCTGCAATGGTGAGACGGTTGGGCTCTTTCGTTTCGGTCACGCCCCCCTCAGTCAATTCTTTACAGGAGGAGAAAGAGTGTATATTTTTAAAACATAGCATGAAAGACCCTTCTGGCATCTTATAAACGCAAGCGGATTCTACCTGACATAAGTTTTCGTGGAGTATATCCCATTTCAGTAGATGCAGAAATAAAATGCAATTAAGGCTGCAATTCTGTGCATGTTCGAACAGAAAAAGTCTCCACAACTCCTAGCATTCCTCAGCCAGCTACACAGGGGAATGTAGGACATCTTTCTGCTGAAACATGTATACGATTGTGCTGAAATTTCCTTCTGATCTCACTGTTCTGAGTTGTCCCTGTCCTCCCATGTGTCTTGTATATAAAGTCTCCAGAATACTTTATGCTTTTGGTTAAGTGGGCTGTGGTCCATGAAAGCTTCTGCCAAAATAAATATGTTAAGGCTTTAAGGTACCACAAGATTTGTTTTGGCATTGATAGATTAACAGAGCTACCCTCTGGTAATAAAAAGGTGTGTGATTGCACACACACAATAAAGCTGTATAAAATAGTATGTATGCATTTATATAGAGTACATAGGAACGTTTTATGTGAATAATATGCCTAGCATTTTCACACATTCTACTTAAACATTATATGTGATCCTTTTTGTGTTGTCTTCCATCTTGCTTTTCCCCAGAGTGCGCTGTTGGTACTTGACCATTTAAACAAGATTTTTTTAACGATAGCTGATAAAAACAGCAATTAAAAAAAAAAGCAAGTAGCCTGCTAGATCCAGCAGCATGTAAAATATGCCATTAAAATAAAGTGTTGGGGGAGTGGGAAACAATATGCTGTACTTGGCATCTAAATGATGGCAGGTGAGAGCATGTGCTGTACATATGCACATGACTGCATGTTATATGTCAGCATATTTATGCATATATAAAAATGAGAAGTAAAGTTCTAGGTCTTACTGTGAGGTAAGTGTGTGTAGAATTGGGTGTGTGAATGTTAAACTCTGCAAGGAATTCTTATACTCCAATAGGTTAGCCAGGCAAGGCTAGCTGAGTGTTAAATCCAAAATGTCCTTTAGATTGTTATCTGTGAAAGGAAAGGGATTATGCCACAAGCACAAATGCCAAAAAAGCAGATTCATGACTTATATTTTATTGTGGTCTTTGTAAAATTTTGAGAATTACCAGTAAATACCAACATTCAGCTAGTTTGAGGTTTACCATTCTAAGTGAATAATTTTTTCTGTGTGTGTGAAGTGTTTGAGCCAGCTAGAGGTTGGTACCTTGAAATACCATTGATTTCTATGGGGAACAGTTAGTTTTTCCTTTGAAATCATTTGAACTTAGTTGCTTAAGTTTGGCATGAATGTGCTCATTTCATTATGTGTCTACATTTGATTTTTAGGTTTCTGCATCTCTGCCTTCTGTATTGCAGTGCTAGCTCTTTGGATTTTTTTAGGACCTGACTTGTCACCAACCACTCAAAACCTTCAAAACTAATATTGCCACAAATTCTGTTTTGTTTGCTCACGCTTTCGGAAGACTCAAGTTAACAAGAACAAAACCCCAGTAGATATAATTTGTGTCTTCTCCTGCCACTTATCCATAGCTACAGCCCCCTGGGTAGATACTTGAATCTTCTGCTGCTACCTTATCTGTAGCTACCAATAAATCACCATTTTACTATTTCTAAGATATGCTCTAGCCTCAGCCCTTTGAATATCAAAATCTAAGCACATGTACATTTTAAAGACAACTTAATTATTTGTGCTTAATATTAGTCTCTTGCTTCTTCTCACTTTCACCTCCATGCTTTATTCTCAGGCCTAATGTTGCTATGTGCCAGCAAGTTGTATTCAACTTATGGTGACCCTATGATGACAGTTATCCAGAATGTCCTGTCCATGACAGCCCTGCTCAGCTCTTGTAAACTCAAGGTCATGACTTCCTTTATGGAGTTCATCCATCTCATGTTTGGTCTGTCTTTTAATTCACTTCTAGAATCTATTCAAGATTTGACTGGGTTGGAACTTTTGAGGAAGAATGCTGGAGAATTGACATGTAGGGCTGAGAATTATTTCTTCCTACCCATCAGATTATTAAACCTCTGTTGCCTGAAAAGTAAATGGAAAGAGTGGGGCACAGTGGTAAGAGTGAGTGCTAAGGACAGATCAACTGGTTTGCCTTCCTGCATAACTGAATTGAATCCAGTTGCATTGACTTCTGTAAATCTAGGATTGAATCTGGATCCAATCCATAGTGTCCAATCCTATAGGTCTGTGTGGGGAATAAGTATATGTGTGGGTCAGACTGACAGTTTGCCATCAAGTTATGTAGGGGTAACTTGCAAGCATTTATTATTCAAAATGCTGTTTTGCTCTGTAAAGCTCTATATAGCTTGAGAAGGTGGCCCTGACAGAATACCTCTGCTTCTGTTTACCTGCCTGAACTTCAAGGTCATCCAACGAAAGCTCTTTTTCAAATTGATGCTTGGAAGGAGGCAGCAAGGGAGAGGACTTTTTTTTTTTTTTTTTTTTTTTTGCAATGGCCTCCCAGTTCTGAAATGCTTTCCCAAGGTTGACAACAGTTCTATCTTTTCAATGCTTGGATAGGTTTCAATGCTTGGATAGGACTTCCCAGTTCTTCTAGGCTTTTGAAGTCTTTTAAAAGTGTTTTACAGTACACTCCTGTACATATCTACTCAAAAGCAGGTGCTATTGAATCCAGGGGGCTATACACTCAGGTAAGTTGGCATAAGATTGAAACTATAAAGTACTTTAAAATATTTTAGCATTTTTACTCCCTGTGATAAGGTTTTGCTACTTATATCTGCAATTGACTTTTGTGCTATGTCGACATGTTTATTAGTTTAATATTGTTGGTTTTATTGAGATTTTATGTATCATCATTGTATCTTAACCTGTAAATGTGTGTTAGTAGGATGTTAATAAACTGACTAAAATAAATAAATGGGCTGCTGTCCTAAATACCATTGCCTGGGTATATGCTCCATTAAACTCAGGGGTGTTTGCTTCTGAGTAGACATGCACATGTAACAGTGTCACCAATTTAATCAGAAACAGCACATTCTAACACACATTTTAGAAGCATTTAAATATATTAAAAACTGCAGATGACAAGCACCATCTTGAGATATTTCCTCTTTAACAAAAGGAAATCTCTAAGCAAATGCATGGCATGGTGTATGTGTATATGTTTTAAAATCAACGTCTGAATTATAGTTTAAATTGTAGTGTTCTCCAGTATGAAAGTTTATGCAGTTGATTAATTGCTAGCATATATTGATGAGCATAACACACACATACTTAAGTGTTTTTAAACATTCAATTTAGGGTGAAGTTGTATTTATGTACAGGGAGAAATAAGACCTTCAGCTGCAAACCAGGAGTTATAAATTTTCTGTCTAAAGATGCATAGGATTAGGCACATGAAGAGATTATATTTTTTGCTCCTAAATGACTGACTTGGACAGCTAATACAACCTTGCAGTTTGAGATTTTATATTTCCATTTTTGATGTGTACATTCGGGGTGGCCATGAGCCAATAACTCACTCTCACCCTCAGTTTTCTCATTTGTAAAATAGAAGTAATACTTCATGCATCAGACTGTTACTAAACACAATATTGTAAATTACTTTCAAGACAGTATGACCTATATGAAAATGCAGTAGTTGTAATCCTCTACCAGAAGTCCTTGGAGTTGCTTTTAAGTTGTCACTCCATTCACCAGCATTGTGTTTTGAGACCTGGTATGCTGCAGTAGATAAAGGACAAGTTTTGGAAGCCACCCAAGTTCAAATTTTGCTCAGCCATGAGGTTCATTGCTAAATCTTTTGCCACCACCTCCCAATTTAATCTTACTCTGTGGGGTTGGTTTGGAGCTGGAACACTGTTCTGTAGAGAAAAGGCAGAATAAAAAGGTTAATTTAAGACATTCATGGAGTATGGGAATTGTGGCTTCTTATCATGGTTTGTTAAATTACATTAAGCCAGAGCTGCCTCACTCCCACCCCCCTCTCTGGACATAATGTTGAATTCAGTCTATAAGATGGAAACTTAGCTTTGAAGAGGTGTGCAAGGGGTAGAACTTGGCCCTGGTACTTATTCCAACATGAAGCATCAAACAAGTGTCCAAACCGGGTCAATTTAGTCTTCCCCCTTGATAAAAACCAAAACTTAAAGGAGCCCTCTGCTATTCTAAGCAATACTAACAAGCCACCTTTAGGAATATTCTAATCAGTTTACCTCCTCACAGTACATCTGATTAACTGAGTACATTAGTTTGAGGTGCCTCTTGTTTGTCCAGTGCAAATGAATTAAAACTGCTGAGCTGGACAAATGCATTAGCTTAGAGCAACTAAGGAAAATGCTGCTATGGCTTTTGTCCCTCCCTCCCTCCCTCCCTCC